CAGACCCCCTTCGGATGTTAAATGATATCTCCACATCTTTGCTCTAGCAAAACAAATTCTACTCCTCCTCTCCCCAAACCCTTTGAGGTCATTTTACTCTGTTACATTTCCTATGACACCATTTGAATAACAGTATTCCTTACACTTAACTTGGACCAATAACAAGCCACTTAAAAGCAGTTCCTTTTAGAAAGTGTTGTGGGTTTTTTTAAACAAAATGAAACAAAGACTTTTTAACATACAGTGACACTGACTCTTCACAAGTAGAGGTACTCTGAGAATATATAGATATATAGGTACAAATAGAAGCTCACTGAGATTTTTTTTTCTTCCTCCCACCAAGAAAAGGTTAGGAGTAGCTTAAAAAAACAAAACCATAAAACTACTAACAAATGCACAGGGAGAAAGAAGCTATCTAGGCCTTCCTTCCCCAAACCAAATATATGTGGTCAGTTCTTTTAACCACACCTACTCAAGTCACTTAAAGTGCACTGTTCTGCAGTCTGATGTGAAATGCAATGTTCCCATTGATCAAAGTGATTCAAAATCAGGCCCTATATATGCTTATTTATGTTTGATCTAAAATAGGCAAGCTGTCCTCTTGCCACCCCTGCAAAACAGCTTTGCTAGCAATTGTCCAAGCAATCGGACAGTAGCCTTCAAAGGCCACAATAAGAGGTCTTCAGTCGAGCGGTGTCATATGGTCTTCATTTAGAAGTATCACAAGAACATTACTTCTCACAGTATTTACAAATGAAAAACATATGGCTGTAACCTGTAATACTGTAAGAAATACTGCTCTTTGGGTTTGTTTTTGGCCTCAGACTTTTGAAATATGAACCAAGCAAAGGGATTTCAGCTTAATGCGGGATTCAATCCATTCTTCTTCTGAGCTCAGTCTGGGGGACAGCTAAAGCTTGCATATGAAAAAAGTGATTTACCCACAACTATGATAATGCACTATAGCTGGCAACTAAAGTAGCATCTATATCAAAAAAGGTGTGGGGGTGGTTAATTAAAGACATCTACTTTCCATTTAATAAAAAAGATACTAAACTATCTTTGGTTCCTATAAGGTTTTATAAGTCATATATAAGCCTCTTGCATTTACTATTTAGGTTTAGTCAATATGGTTATCTACCTGTCAATTTTTCTTGCTCTTTAATGCAGAAAGAGAGCAGCCTTTTTTATAGCTAGCTCAGAAAGTACTAAGCTAATCAATACATGCAGCGATAACAGAATGATTTGAAACACGTAACAGAAGCTTATCACTTCACAGTATACTGAACCAGTCAAAATATTTTCCTAGAAGTAAAATGAAAATAGAAGTTCTCCGTTTTTTATTACTTAAGTGGGTGGTGACATAGATGTTGTAGGCCTTTTGGATTTGTTCCTAGCTTTGTATTTTGGGCAAAATTTGGTGCACCAGCATTTGCTGCTTTGTAGGAACGTGAGGCCAATATTGCAGCGAGATTTAAAAACTCTGCCTTGAGAATCAAACATTAGCTTAATTGCCCTTGATTTCCCATCCCTAAACATGTAATGGAAATCCATGCATTGTTGTGGAGAACTGTGCATAAGAATTTCCAGGAACACATCTTCTAATGATCCTGCAGACCTTAAAATCTTTGCTTTACTCAGTACTCTCAGTGATTTGTGCTCAAGCCCAATCTGAAAAGTACATGCTTGCTTTTAGCTATCTCCTGTTGAGTTAGTCTATTTGAAGTAATTTGTAAGCACCTGATTCCTAGAGCTTTAAATATACATACATGTATCAAGATTCTGGATTTTAATGCAGCAGAGAGAGGATCAGCTGTTATTGTGGTCTCTAACCTCTACTTTTCTGAAGAAACGCACAGGATTTAACTAAGCAGTTCTCTTTGAGTGGTAAGTAACAATCACCTGCCATCATGCCATCATACAATTTAAGTAGGCGGAATTCTATGCAACACAAAAGCTCTTTGCAATGTCCCAGGCTTGCCACAATTTTCCAAATGTTAAATGCAAGCTCAAAATTTGTATATATATATATATATGTATGTAAGTGTGTATGTAAATACAGGCTAAAGAGATGAGAGCTAATAAGAAAGGAACAGGAAATAATGTTTACAGCTTGAGGCTTTCTATCAATTTTTCTATCAGTTCCAGCTCCAGGGCTCTTCTTATTAATTCTGTGTCATGGTGTCTGCTGCATCTCTGCATATCCCCCTGAAGTCACACAATGGCCTTATGGCTTCCCAGTTCTGAAAGGTCTACTTCGTAATTTCTGAATCAGAGGCTGCCAAGCCTGGGTGATAGTGGTTACACTGGGGTTTGCTTAAGGCACCAAACCATTAAATTGTTTGCCATTACCCTTAGAAAAGACTACTGATAAGTAAAACAAAGGAGGAAAGTAAAAGAAATAGGAAGGATCACAGAATCACAAAGAAATTCTTACAGATCACAACTAAAAGCTTACAGAGGCTCTGCTGATCCTATTTCTCTACCAGAAATGGCCACACATGGTGCAGCCAGGTCTGAACTAGCTCCATGGGAGTGAGCCAAGAGCTGGAAATCACACAACAGCATCCACTCAGAGGCAAGAATGAATCTATGGGTGCGTAAGTGCTGCTAACACGTCCTGACCCAGCCGGGTAAGTCTGTATGAACTTGCCATGAATCTCTACAAACTCAGAAATCACTAAACCACAATCCATTGCACAGTAGAGGCATGCCAGCAGCAAGGCATTAACAATGTTGTCTGTTCCAGAGGAGCTGAAAGATGGATGGGCATCTCTGAGGGCAGAATTGGGCCCAGGGAACAGGCAAAGATTCTCAGAGCAACACCTCAAGTGACACAAATTATGTTATAAAATTGATCACTTCCTTACACATGGCAAAATGTTTCCAGGGCACTCAACATCCTCTTCCATTAAGCCATGATAAATGAGACCATATTTCCACATCAGCCTGAACTCATCTTTTAAATCTGCTTGTTCAAATATTTGGTTACTTATTCCCCTCTTTCTCCTTCAGATAGCAAAACTTGTCTTTTTCTTTTTCAACTTTGCACATCCTGATCGATGCCATTATTGCAGGATCATTACTTAGGAATTTTATTTCTTCACAGAATTCCTCATCTTAAGAGCATATAAAATTCTGAGGGAAAGACATTTGGTGTGCAAATCTCTATACACACACTCTGTATGTTTCTCCATATGTACACTCAGCAACACAAGGACAGAGGAGACTTACAGAACAAATTATGGAGAAATGTCCCCAAAAAGTAACTTTCCTACTACTAGTTCAAAGATCACCACCATCACCTGGAACAGCGCTAGGATGGAAACCCAGGGAGCAGGAGCAAAATCGTTTCAAGCAGATCACTATGGCTCGAGGTGGCTAGGGAAGGTTCATAAATTGATAAGCACCACCGAAGGATCATAAGCCTCCACATCAATTGTATAAAGATTACAACAGAGCCACTCACTGCAGTCATTCTGAAAACGTTATGGGTTTCACAGGTGTGCACTGTCAGTTCTGATTAAGCTTAAACTAAACCAGTTATCTATAACGTTGGATTGGAAGGAGTTTTATTGCTGAACGCAGGGTAAATCAAATTCAGGATACACATCTGTGGAAAAACACACAGGGCCAAAGTTCACAGTCCTGACATAGGTGAAAAAAAAATCCAACCCTCCAAACTCAGGAGGAGATTTGCCTGTAAAAGATCCATCAGTCTGGGTATTGTCAGATGGTCTGTATTGGGAAGGAAAGTTATTCATCACCTTAACACAGCTTTGGGTTTTCTTTCCCCCTTCAATTTATTGTTCACTCTTATAATGCAGACTGCTTTAAGATTATTATCTGCATTCATTTCTAAAGTGCCTAGAGTTTACTATTTATCTGAACATAAATTAAATTAATTATGTACCTATACTTTTCAATATACACACTATAAACTAAGGCAGCTATAGCAACAAATTCCTAATGCAATTTTTCATCTGTGCGACTAGGAATCTTTCCAAAAACAACAGCTCACATCAGAGTTTCTTAGAGTTATGCAAAAAGACTGGGTGAAGTCCTGTACCCAAAAAACCATTGCTGGCAAGTCAATTGATTTCAACAGTGCCAGGATTTCACTCAAAAAACTAAAGGGAAAAAAAAAAAAAGCATTCTTAATAGTTGATACAAGTTGCAAAAGGTATGTTCCATTTCCAAAAACACTTCGTATTGATGCTGCACTTTAAAGTACCTCTATTGACTCACAGTTCTAATAGATGGCAAGAGTGAAAAAACATATTTGCTTTTACAGCATCATTATTTCCTTTGCATGCAATTATTTACTTGCCAAACAATGCTAGCGACAAATCGCAACAGACTATGAAGCCATCTACATCAGCAGATTTTTAACCTAAGGTAAAAATAAACAGAAACATCTGTAAAGTAATCTTGTACAAAGCTACGTTTATTAACAAATACATTTTCTAATAAAACACCATCTGCAAGCAACCCTCAGCTTCCACTTGATATAAATAGGCCTTTTACTGTTTTCAGATGCAGTTCCCAGAAAATTATTCCAAGCTCTACTGCAAAACACATCAGTCTTTGTTGCTGCCTGGAATGTTAATAAATAACATCAAGTTTTTAAATAGTCAAACAAATTATTGGCTTGAAACAATTATTCCAATAGAAAAAGCTGACCTTTTGCAACAAAGTGGTTTAAGAATGCATTGCTCCTCATTCATGGTATAAAAGTATTACCAAGGAGGGAAATATTTGGGGGGAAACAGAAAGCTATGAAAATCCCATATTGCAATTCTGTTCATAGGTATGCTATAAACCTACCTTGCAAAGGTTACTGCTTTAGAGAAACTCAGAATAAGAGAAAAAGTATACAGAGCGTAAATAGTTCAGTTGGTAGCCATACTAGACATCTGTGCTTGGAATGGACATGAATATGAACCAACTAAAATGTTCCTCACAGGACTACTGTACTGACCAGCAATACAAAATTCAACAGCTTCAACTCTTGGTAGCAGAGACTGGGACTGAATCCCAAAATTAAGAGCTCTTCAGAATGCATAAAAGCTTTAATAGGACACATTTTCATAAGCGTTACTCAGAACCAGAGCCACATTAATTCCATTAAAAGCAACAGGAATTTAGCAAACTCTGTAAATAAACTCCTTGCTGGTAGAACTATTTAGTATCACTAAATTTGAACACTGCCACTTTTCTTCAGAGTTCAGCACAGCAATCTTTCTATCAAACTAGCTCCTAGCTGAAAATGCAAGAGTGAAAACTGCAGATGAACTGCGATATTAGAGTTCTCTGTCCAGAATTCAAGCTGATATAAATATATTACACCAAAAAGAGATCTAGCCTTTCAATATAATCAGAAAAGAGCAATGTTAGTCCTCCAAACCGTGGTTTTAAAACTTCATTAAATATTGCTACTGGGACTATCACAAACAAACTTCGCCAGCTGTAGTCATGTACATTCTAGAAAAAAGGAACGTTTTAGACTGTAATTCCAGGAAATGGACCTGCATATTTCCAGTGAAAAATATTCAGTGCATGAAATACTCAAGCAGTACTAGAGAGAAGATATTTCAAACCACTTACTTCACTAACAGGAGGAATGGTGAGCTTTGGTACTTTGTTCTTCGAACTAGGTGTGTTCACTTTTCCTTCCAGCAGTGTTCCAAAGGACTGATTTCCATATCCACTCTCAATTTCTATCGGAGGTTTCAGTTCAGGTGAGTCATTGGGTACCTGGTCCTGACCGTCCATAGGCCTGACATAGGCTGTAGGCTTTTGCTGGACCATGCTGTTCTTGCAGTGAAGTCCTGGTGGGAAATTCTGAGACGAAAGACCGTTGTTTGCAGATAACAACGAAGTGGAAGGAAGTGGAGATCCAGGACCATGACCTACAAACTCAAGCTCTGCGGGCGACTTTGAATGACTGTTTTCTTTGTAAGTATGTTCTCCAGGTGCTGACTTGGAATGAGTGTGCCTCCTTGAATGCGAAGATGCTGCCATAGAATTTGCTTCCTCGGTTCCTCCACTTTTATGCTGCTCACTCTGACAATTATAGAGGTCTTCGTACCTGCCCTGTGGCTGGTCATGAGAGGAGCTGTGCTTTGCCCGACTCTGCTGACTACTGGATTGGCTTGGCTGGGCCCCACTAGAGTTGTGACCACCACGCGACCAGTCTGTCCTCGACTTCCTGCTGCTCTGGTGACTGTGTAGCAAAGTAGAATTAGATGACAACGAAGAAGGTGGAGGCATTGATGTCGATGAGTGGCCACTGATCTGATGAGATGGGATCATCCTGTTCCTCGGCTCTGGGAAAAAGTTCTGCTCATTTTTGTCAATGGGTGTCTGTGGGACAGAATTCTTTGGGATTCCTACAAGGTGGCTCTGGTTGGAATGGTTGGTTAACAGGTCCTTCATCTCATCATAATTTCCCAATGTGTTCTGGACACGGTTTGCAAGGGCATCACCTTTATTTGTCTAAAATATCAAGAAAATAAATGAAGGAAAAGAGTGAGTACATTCCTGATTACAAGTTGCTGCTCAAAGTAGTTGCAAAGATGGCAAATGTTAGCTCTTTAATGGTGTCATGCTGACATTTAATTTAATTTCAATTACATTTTTCATATGTTATGTAAGAAAAACCTATCAATAACTGTGTTCAAAGAATCTCCTGAAACAGGCTTGCACAAGTAACACTTGCATACTGCTTCCCATTCTCTTAAATATGCTCTCAGAGAAGTGTTTAAATTGCATCAGTTATGGATGTTAGGAGCAAAATAAGCTGGTTTTATGTCAGAGATGTTGGGCTTGTACATTTCGTATCGTGCAAAACATGAACGTGCAATTACTGGCTACTGAGCATTTGAATTGCAATCACACAGTTTATTTAAGTATGTTATTGCTCTATCAGCCCCTTGACCCATAGTCCAGAAATAGAAGCTGGGTAGTCTGCAATAAACACATAATCTCTTCATTTCAGTGTAACTCGAATTACTTTTCCATAGAGGGTTCAGGTTGACCTGAGGTATCTAGCATCTCAACCCAGAAAAGAAAAAGCTTCTACCCACTCAAATGCTACAGTAACTTCAAGTAAAAGACCATTCAAAAATATTTTCTTACAGAACATAAATAGACACGACTGCTACGTTCTTAAGTACCGGGATTCTTCTGTTGTCTGCAGGCTGGTTGCATTTGTGAGTCCCGCTTTTCTCTGAATTCCAGTAATAAGTAAACACTGACTCATCTGCGTTTCGCTGCTATTATACTTTCGAAGCATCAAGTGGGGTTTTTTTTACTTTTTTTTCTCTTTCACTTGTAGAAAGCTGGATAAATAAGCTTGAAGCTATAATTAACATGCAGCTAATTTCCTCTCTTCCTGTTCTAACTCACCCCACAGAGACCCAAACTACCAGTCGCCTTACTGACCTTTATGTACATTGAAATGACCAGCAGAGAACCAAAACATCTTATTCCCCATGCTTATTACTTTATAAGTCTCAAAGGATAAAACCAAAGCAAAACTATAGCTCCTGTTCAAGCAGATGGTTAACTTCTACAGTCTGGAATTACATGACAAAGTTGTAGTGTATGTAAGATACCACAGGATACAACCAACAATGCTTTCACTTATGTTTGGGTTTTTTCGCTCTATACAGCAAAACAGTGCCACAGTCCAAAGATGCCCTAACACCAGGCCATAAAGATAGGGAAAGGCAGCACTATAAGCTTGTGCTTGGTTAGAGTGTGTCACACTTCATTCCTCAACAAGCGATCCCACCTGCCACTGATCCCATTTTCCTCAAGTATTAAGCAGAAGTTTGGGTGATGAAAAAAATCCATGCATGGATTTCTCCTGAAACATCTGCTTATATTCCCCACTGCTGAACTAGTCAGGAGATGAGAAGAATATTGCAGAAAGATTTTTTTTTTCCTTAGTACTGCACAGGCCATAAAAAATGTTTTAAAAAGAAGATAATAAATGCAAATTTCCTTTTGCTCATTCTCAGGGATTGTAACATATATTACCACTGCACTGAGGCAGTGATTTAAAAATTAACTGTTCTACGTTATTCTCATCTATATACATTTTGCCAGTGCTCCTAACTGACACAGTTAATAATACCAGTTGTGGAGAACCACTTTTTTGTGGAGAATCACTTTTATTCACTAAGTAAGTCCCTAGGTTGGTCATTTTAGTGGCAAAAATTATATTCTAGCTAAGCTAAGAATAAGTTCTTTGTGTATGAGCAGTCTCCTTCAACTGAGTTGCACAATGAGCTGTTTGGGCAGCAGCCAAAACCAGGCTCTCTCTGTTCAACCCCCAAATTTAAAACAAGGAGATTCCATTGTGCTTAAGGTGCGAAGTCTAAACACTTACATACTTGTTCTGTTTCCTCCTTCCCCAAACACTTTAACTCCTTATGGGATAGCACAGGGGGAACAGCAGAGTATCGGAAAAAGCCTGACCACCAATCTTCTCCTCTGCTTAGCTACGCTTCCAGGGTGCATTTAGCTTTCTTTCCAGAAAGCAAGAGTTGGTGGGGTTTTTGATTAAAAAAACACCCAAAAAAAGTACTGACAACATATCATCACTAGAACGTTTCAACATCACAGCACATTAAATGGCTCTTGTCTAGATCCTCATAGAAGGAATCAATATTTAAATTTGCATGTAGAGCTTTTCAATCATTTCTGTGTTGGAGGTATCTGATACCACCTATTTTCTTTCACATGTCACAATGATAAATACAATTTTGCCTGATATTAACTCTGTTTTATGCAGAATGTTCACGTCCTGGGGATAAAAGACCCTTATAAAGTATTATTATTTGTAGTCATTTACTGGGAGCATTAATAAAAAATAAATTTCCTGAAAAGCACAGAGATTAAATTAATTTAAACATCCTTAGCGTATTTTAAGTGCACTAAAGCTCGTATCTAATAGTTATTGAAGTCAATGGAAGGATTATTGCTCTCTTCAATGGCCTTTGAACTAGACTGCAAAGCAAAAAACGCATAGTGAATGTGAGCAGTAATTTGGCTTACGCTTAAATAAAACTAGAACATGCACAACTAAGACCAGACTTGTGCAACACAACCTGAATGAGCTTGGGTGTGTAGTGCAGTGTACTACCTGCATTGAAGACATGAAGCATAACATTAATGGGTTTATTTTATTTACTCAGCATATTCGGGGTTCTCGTGAGAAGCAGAGTATCTTTAACAAGCTGGGACACCAGCAAGAGAAACACAAAATCCAGTCATAATTTGTGGTTGCTCTTTTTTACTTCCAGATTTGGGACAATTTCTACCTTCATCTTCTGGATAATTGGCTTATTTCTTAAAGGACAACTCTGCACATCTTGTTTTCTGAACAGCATGTTGAACCACAATTTTGCCACCATTAAGGAAATGCAGCATTTTCTGAGTATTCCAAGGCACAAATTATACGTCTGGTTTGTGACTCATGGCTAGTAGCCTTCCCCTTATCCTAGGCTCTTGTTAATTTAGGAAATGTACACCTTCCTACCTCTGCTTCTATTGCTTTCTGTAAGTATCTGTAATAGAATCCTATTGGAAGACCAATTTGCTAGCTAGCTATTGCATTCTAGGTTTACAAAGAAAAGAACTAATGCACTCAAACTTGTAGGCACAATTTACAAGGGTTTTGTGAAAATTTGCATGGAACTTGAGGTTTCACAATTCATTCACTTTCTCATGCCTCATACTTAAACTAACCCCCACGGACCAGAAGCTAAGATTTCAGTTTTTTTTTTTTTTATGCTAAGCCTGAATAGCATTGAGGGGCTTTACCTGAGAAAGAGAAATGATTTAACATTCACCAAAAGCTCCTCAATGGAAATGCTGCCCATTGGGTTCGCTTTGTCAAGGTGAACTCTTCTGAGGCAATTCCTTTTAAAGGTAACAAAAGTACTCCTACTGTTTTCTCTAAAACACTCATCTCTGAAACTCTTTACTAATTCCAAACATTAAACAGTATCAACAACTCAGTAGTAAAATTACAGCTTCTCTCAGGAAAACTTTGACATTGCTTTTTCACATGTCTGTTGTCATAACATTGCAGGCTCTTCTCTGATCACTGCTGCAGAACCCAGCATTAGCAGGTTGCACGAGAGTTCAAGGGCAAGACCTACAATCCACTTGCACTAAAGGGCAACACAGCCCTCGCTGCCCGACCTTCCGAAATAACACTGGATGTCAACACGTCAAAACATTGTCACTGTTTCCCCACATAGGACAGCAGAGCTTCAGAAGAACATTTTTATCTTTTAATAAGCATGTACAAATGTATTTTATACACCCACAGAAATAAATACCTCTTTTCATCTGTGTGTACACATACATGTACTACAAAGAATCAATGTAGGAACATGCACTTGTCCAAAACCATAATGATCACCTAAGTTTTATTTGACAGAGGGATAGAAAGGAAAATGATGTAATAGCTAAAGCAAAGACATGACAGATGGAGGCAGATACTCCACACATCTCGTAATACACAATGGCAGTAAACTCTGAGAAAATGGACATGTTTTAATGCCCCCAACCTCAGAGCAATCTTAAACAGCTGCTAGTTGTTCAGTCTTTAAAACATCAAAACAGCAGTTGTGGTATTCCCTACCCTAACAGTCCCTCCTGGGTTTCTGTGGAAGCACGTGAGGAAGAAATGATAAACAAGGAAGGACACTAGGTCTCGGAATAAAAGAAAAGAGGTATTTTCTGAGGCCTGATATTCCCAACCTTCCCTTTGTCGCTGTAGTCTCCAACTTACTTCACAGCCCCAGATCTTTGAGAGCCGTAACAGCCATCCCTTGAGCTACCCCAGCTGAGGATGTGAACCTTGTGCTCACCACAGGCCACAACAGTTGACTGCTAGGCAGTGCTTCATCTCCTCTCATTCCCATTGAGAGCACCCAGAAGAGACAGATGGGATACCTTGTCAGCTTGTTGTGTGCACCAGGCTTTGAGTCTCATCCACACAGAAACATTTGTTCATCTCAAAATGGAAACGGAATTCAAACTGAACGTGCAGCACATCTCACTTCATGGCCTCTTCATTTCATTTGAGAATCAACATGGCCAGAATCCCAAGAACTTAGTTTTACACTTGCCCAAGAATACAAATCACTACATATCCACTAAGAGTTAGACTCAGCCTCCATTAGCTCCTAGGAATCTGTGCTGTGGCTGGTTCTTAGCAGTGCTCCACCCCTGGCAGTGTTCAAGGCCAGGCTGGACAGAGCCTTGGGCAACATGGTCTTGTGTGTGGTGTCCCTGCTCATGGTAGGGGGATTGGAACTAGATGATGTTAAGGTCCTTTTCAACCAAACCCATTTTATGATACCAAGGAAATACCAGTCTATCACTTGGTGCTTTTTTTCCCCCACCATAGTGTAAAATGTAGGCAAGCCCCAGCATTCCTATTCAGTCTTGGTTCTCTTTGTTTTGCAAATTTAAGACAGATGTAACTGTTTTGCATGCAACTTCCTCCTAATTTTTATCTTTCGCAATTTATAATTACAATGCTTTTTTAGGATAGTAATACATAATGTTTTGCTCAGTCCCACAGATCTGCCAAACTTCTCTGCCAAGCAGGTGAAAAGCAATTATAAAACCCCAATCTGCTCAGGAAAATCACCAGGATGCTTTGGGGTTTTTTTTGGTGGGTTTTCTTTTTTAGTTGTTCCATTTTTGACAAAACATGTGCTCTGTGTATTTTTGGTGCACATACACACAGATGTAAGATCAGGTATTACCATTCATACTGGGGGTGGGAATGGGGGTGTGGTGGTTTTAGTTCCTGACACAAAATCTTGCAGTAATTTTGCACTGACCACTTAAAATGAACAAAAATGTTTGCCTGACCTGCAGAAGTATCAACAAAATCAGTTCATATAAGTTATTATTCCCACAAGGGTGCTAAAATGTGCTCCAGTGCAGAAACAGTGCATTGATTAGATTTTTATAAAAATAAACCAAAAAGAACCCACAAACAAACTGCCCCAGCGCAAAGTCCTTGTTTGGCTGAGTAACTCTGTCATGGATGAGTGGAATGCATCTCACTCACAACAGAGAAGCAGCAATATGTTTTAATGAGGTAAAATAATAATTTGATAGAGTTCGATAAGTTTGATGGAATTTAACACAATTTGACAGAGGTTTGCCATGGTTCAGTAAGTTGGAAGCAAGGTTGGAAGCAAGGTTTTACTGTATTAATTACTGCATGGAAGAAACATAGTAAGGAAAATTGAGTTAAAATGATTCACACAGAGACTAGAGATACAAAGAGCAAGTAGGACCATACATGAGGTTCAGAGTGGAACCTCTTGCTTTCTAAATTCCTTTTGGAGCCTAGGTGTGGCTGGTTCCAAACTTAGTCTCAAACTTGGTCAACAGTTTATGTCTAATGGAATTAACCATATAGTATTTACACTAGTTACACAGATTAGTAACACTTTGTATTATTAATTCAGCATGCTATCTATCACTTACCAAGGATCTCTTGCAGGTAAGGGATCTCTCTGCCTTGTGTAAGGAAGGATCTCTTAGTCTCAAGTAAGGGATCTCAAACCTTGACAGGCATCCCTGCTGAAGGGGAGAGTTAGCTGCTGTGCAATCCAGCTGCAATTCAGGGAGAGCTCAAACTGGGCCCATGCTGATGGTAATATTTATAGGGTAAAGTAGTTGGCTGCTAGTCAATGGTACAGACAAGATAGATGCCTTTGCTTTAGCTCTGATATCCTGCTCTGTACTTCAGTTATCTTGCATTTCTGAGTTTTGAAACCACCTTTAGAAATATTTTTCAAGACACCTCCACTCCCTTGTATGTGAGCCAGGGGCTTTCCAGCTCATAAGTTCACCCAAAGGACGTGAGGCCTGTAGCTCCTTAGTCAGCCTGAACCGAAGTACAGCTAGGAGTCAAGTGTATCCGTCACACTCTCCCGGTCTGTAATTATTAGGCACCATTTGATAATAATTCTAGTCTTTCGTCCTCCTTTTCAAAGAGCCCTCATCCTCCCTACAGCTGCTAACAATGTAAAATGGAAAGATGAAGTGGTGGCCTTTCAATGGATGTCACTGATTGGGAGGAGAAAGAGATATGGAAATTTACATTCTGATGAATTCTTCAGGGAATGGCTTACTGAAAATCAAAGCAGCAGAAATCATAAAGGGGGACATCCCTTGGTGATGAAAATCTCAGGCAGCAAAGCTCCTTCGAGAGAATAAGTCTTGTTGTAAGTCCCTTTCATACCCTTGTTACGCTCCCCAAAGATTCAGACAGTCTCCCAAAAGACTTCTTTGGATGGTTATGATTGCACAAGAAAGCTTACGGGCTCGTTATCTATATGAGGACATTGGTTTTAACAACTCAGGTATATATTCTTCTTAAAAATAAAAGGTCTAAGTGCTAGCTTTGTAAGTATGAACTCAATTGTAGACATATCAGCTGCATGTACTTCTATCACAGGACATTGCTGTGTGTTTACGGGAAGAAATCTTGAACTGTACTCGAAATAAAACTCTGATCCTGTCAACATTAGCATGAAATGCTGGGCAGAGTATTCAGTTTGCTCTGCTGCCATGTGCTGATCTGGATAATCAGTGTGTTCAGAAGTATAGCTACCAAGGCAGATGTGATACTGTCTTTTCTTACAAGTGAAGAGAAGCTTTATTGGTATTTGTAAAATGCATTCAGGTTAAAGACATTCTGAAAATGTAAAACATAACGATGCAATTTACCTTGTAGGGTTCCCCGAAGAGGTTAAAACCTGAAGCAAAGAGATCTTCATCTTGTTGGACCTCCTGGTTTCTTCTCTCCCATTCTTTCCGCTTAAGTGCACTCCGGTCTTGCTCATAGTGACTGAAAAAGAGAAAGACAAAAAAAAGACACATTATTTCCCCCTTAATTTAGTTACATGTTCATTACTATCAGTAAGGGCAGCAAAACATCAGAAACAATGCAACTCCTGGGAACAAGTCTGAAAGAAAGAAACAGCCACTGAATAATTTTCCCAAATGTAAATTTGTAATCATAATAATATGTGAAATTGGGCAGTAGGACACTTTCACACTGCTCGAGTGAAAACAGACAAAAATGTTCCTTTCAAATTAACAGAGCACTATGCAGAAGAGTAAAATACATTTTGATGCATTTGTATGAACAGTCTGTAGAATACACGCGCCACACGCACACAAACACAGACCTGGGCCCACAATGGATGTGTCTTTGCAGAGAAAGCAAATGCAAGTCAGGGAAGCACTGCAACACCTTCAAATCCATTTAACGGTGTAACACTTGTCTCTATCCATCCCAGTGCTCCAGTTCAGCCTCGTGTCATTTAGACCACCTAACTCTGTCCCATGTACTTGTTAAAATTTATGTACAGTTTCATTGTGGATGTCAAGGGGGTTTTAAAAAGTGTTTTTGTAGCAGGCTCCCGGAAGAGGTTTCAGGGTAGTTGATTCCAGTATCAGATAATTCTACAAACAAACAAACAGAAAAGGATCTAGCACCTCAGCGTAGCAATGGCAAGTGGCACTTATCTGTATGTCAGCTTACTTTGTGCACCTGCCAGACCTAGATGACAAGCTGAGAGACCACATTCACTTCTCCCCTGAATAGCACTGAAGTACTTTGGTCTCTTGGCTTTGCAAAATACCTCCTGCTCCTCTAAGGGAAAAGATATAATTAAAACACTAAAGGAGGGAGAAAAATGGAAAGAGGAAAGATGCATGCTTCAACTTGCACTGACAACCTCTCATGTGACAAGCATAAAGGGACACTTCTGTGCTTTCAGCCCAGATCTGATTTGTTATGAGGCTTTTGGCTCTGCTTTGTGTCAGTTAATTAGCTACCAAATTCCAGACAAGAAGTAGAATAGCAGATTCAGTACATGCACTAACATCATCCCTTATAAGCAGATTCCAGACATACGTGCACACATCCATGCACACCCTACATGTACAAATGCAAACACACAAACATACATATTACATACGTAACAAAGAACAGTTAATTCTCCTATCTCTGGCAAGAATGAATTAAATCTCCATAGAGCTCCACTGCACTTGGAAGATAACCAAATATCTACAACTTTTGCCTTTTTAGCTCAGCATGATGTTGTATTGAAAGCTTCACACCGAGAGATATAATGAGGAATGAACTGCACAGTGATGAGGCTTTAACAGTGTATAAAGTCACTGATTTCTGAGTGAAACCACAATTACTAATTTGAAGCACCAGCTAATTAAAACCACAGCTATGTATTTAGCCTCTTGTTATACCTACTGCAGTTTATAATTATGAGGACCTCTTTATCTACTCAATTAAAGTTCTTATGATTCAGGCAGGTTGTGTTTGAACCTGCAAGCCCCGCAGAGAGCACAGGAAAGCGTATGTCTGTTGCTTGATGACTTCACGTATCCTTACACTCATATACTTGCTTTTGTACAGGGAAGGAAAGAAAAAACAGACTAATGCCACAATAAGATCCCTAAATACAAAATATTAATTAATAATTGCTTTAAGCAATTCAAGATTGCTTGGCTTGGATTGAATAAGGCTTAAATAAGGCTTGCAAAGCAAATGCAAAGCCACCTACACACGGGCTGAGCTGAATGATTTCCATCCACCTTTTTCTTTCACAAGTTAGAAGGCTGAAAAGATGCCACAGTTCATTTATTGATGACAACACTGCACCACCACCAAGCTCCAGAACACTGCTATAACCATTCTCAGTATTCCTGCAGAAGCTATAGTACTATTGCTGGTTTCATGAGGAACTTGGGAAGGGAAATTTTTGTAAGCAGCAAATGTGATCATATTGCTGACACAATACTGCAAACCACAAGTGACCTGTTCAGTAAAAGGTGTAGGAGGTCACAAGCCTCCCCGCTTCCATGTCCTAAATCAAGATTTAAATACACAGGTATGGGAATAAGTGACTACAAACTGTTTCCCAAATTGGTACACGAAGACAAGAACAAGTTTGAGTCCAACTCTCCCCGCAATGTTTCTGGCATAGGATGCTGCTTTAGGCCAGGAATAACCCAGCCCAGGAGCATTAGGAGCACTCTGTATTCACCCCTCTCACGCGAGACCTTTCCAGGGACTTCTTTGAGCAGTTTGACCCACTGACTCTCTGACTTACACTAGGATCAGATCATTACGAAGTTTTAAGCCCAGTCTCAACACCAGCATAGTGGATCTAGTGTAAACAGGATCTCATGTCCTGCATAAGCACGGGAGCAGTCCTATCCCAGGCACCGCTAGCATTCACTTCAGAAAGAATTATTCATGAAAGTTAGAGCTGCATTTTACAGCTTCCCAAATGGCAACCTTGGCCCAGGACTTCAGGGTGAAATAGTGGGCCCATTCGAATCAAGGTGGATCAGGCCACTGAACACACTGATCACAGAGGAATAGATTACAGGCACAGAACAGGTCTCACCCTTCACGTGAGGTTCCAGCACTCACCTAAAAGCTGGCTCTGGTCTCAAGCATGCAAAGTATTTAAGGAACCAAGTGAGGCATTTTGCCGTATCCTATCAGAGAAAAAGCAGCAAGGGCTCTAAGACTATTTAGGTATGTTTTATGACACAATACAAAACCACAAATAAAAAATGTTGAAAACAGCAGTAATTCAAAGTGGCATAATCACTCTAAAAGACGTTAAGATAAGCTAAGACATTATTTACAATGTTAACAGCAAAAGGTTGAAAAAACAGTATTTTCCAAGAAAACAAAGTTAAGTATTTCTCTATTAGTGCACGTGTTTATGAAAGTTATCTACTCCACGCACCAAGAAGTGAGCACAAAGGACCCCAGCAGTGTTTACAGACCACCAAACTGTGAGCATCCATTTTACAGCACAAGCAAAGCCCTAAGTGAATTGCTACCTCTGCATCAATTCAAATCTCTCTCTTGTTCTTCTGGTGAGAACAAACAAAAAATAAAGGTTCAGTTTGAACTTTCTACTCATGCAGTCACACCGCAGCCTTAAGCATCCAAAGCATCTGTTCAAAAGGAAGTGGTTTGCTCATCCTGTCGGGTCAATTACTTGGCTTATTTCTCTGCACATGCACTTTTGCTATGGGAATGCTTGATAGGGTGCTGATTGTGGCTTCCGAAAGCCGAATATTATAAGATCATACAGAGATTAGGATAACAACTTCTTCGGATTCCTTGTGATCCAAAGAAGGATGCTGATTAGATCTTAAGGCTGCAGTGCACTGAGAACCTAATGGGATGCTCTCCAGAAACTCTTAATGTGGCCACAATGCAATCTCTGTGACTTATGTTTAATATTTAGTTTAACTAATGTTCTGTGAAGTACAGATATGTGATTAGTGGTGAAGGTGTCAGTGAAAACTACAGTCAGATACCAGAAGGAACACCAGGGTTCAGTCTGTCTCATTAGTATAAGAAATACTTTATGACTCCTCTAAAGCCAGGAGAGTAGAAAATCACAAATACAGACTTTTGCAAATATTTGTAAAGAGATTTAGAAGTAAACAGCTGCAGGCCATGATCAGAGAGGGCAGCTATTATGTGACAACGTAGTTTAAATACATAAGCTTTATTGTTTTGATACTACTTCTGAGATTAATAATTGAATTTGAATGGGGAAGTCTGTATATAAATATGAGAAGATCAGGAATGGTGAGTAGTAAGAATGTTCCAGAAGCATAAGAGACCATTGATCTACAAATTACCAGAGTGCTGCATATGGCAGAAAGAATAGCAACCTTAACTGCATTATTGGTTTGGTATGTTTAACATTGGTCAGGCTGCTAATGCATTTTGAATAATGGCATTTGATACTTAATCCTTTAAACTCAGACCAGCAGACATCCACTGGTCATCATTCTCAGCTATGGACACCGTAAGGGACGGGGTGAGCTGATGCACTGCAACAGGCCAGGTGCTCAGCCTGTGTGAATCTGCAGATCATCAGTGAGATCCATGGAGCTTCACCCTATCACCCTCACCATGGGCCACAACGGCTGTGGGGACAATCTGGACTAAGCAGAGAACAGAACATGGGAGAAGGGGGCTGAGGCAGGAGGAGACTATCAAGGCAAAAGATATCAGGCATGTACATAGGTTTTGGACTGGAAGCTAAAAATGTGGCTCTGACAGTAAGACAAAGTCAGACAGGCACTGTTTCCAAAAAGGAGAACTAGAGCAATAAAATTCGGGCCATTGGAAAAACCAGTGTTAAGTGTCAGTGGTGAAAGTGAGAGGATGTGGTGCAAAAGATCTAGAGGGAAAAGAAAAAGCCTTTTAGGGACAGACTGCAACAGAGCAGGAGGTTAGAAGGAAGAGTTAAAGGAAAGCTGATGAAATTAGACCAACAGCTAAAGGCTGAGACCTAGCACTTGGGGTTTTTCTTCAAGGATGTGCTAACTAAGCCACTGAAATAGTCTCCCAAAGCGCACAAGACTAGGCAAGGAAGACAAGAGCCCGAAAAACAAGAGGAAGAGTAGAAGAAAGAAATCAGACCAAAGAAATTTGAACGAGTAGTCACTCTGATACGAAGAAAAATTAGGAGACAAAAAAAGAATAAAATTATCGAACACAGTGTTGCAGAAGAACCATGAATGAGATCAGAACATCACTCTGTTGACTCAGTCAAAACAACAAAAGCCCAACAGGAAAAGAATCAATAAAAAAGCTGGAGCAGAGAGGCTTTATAGTAGTGACAGACTGCATCCATGGGGATAAATGAACAACATTCAAGGAAAACAGCATTTATCCACAAGTTAGGGAAGAAGTAGTCACTGTTCTCAGTAACATATCTGAATTCATAAAAATGCACACTATGATCAAATCAAAGATCCCCCTGTACTAGTTCCACC